TGCCATTTGTGACTCGCAATCAACCTTGCTCTTCCCAGACAGTCCGCGCCTTAATAAATCAATCGTCACTCGTCATTGCTGGACAGTTGCGACTTGCTCCATCAACAATCACCATTCCCTCTTTCCCGCGCACATGCCCCTCGAAGCTCTAGCAACACACCTTCACACGCAGCATACACAATGACCGCCGCTGCTAGCTCCTCTTCCACCAACATCTACACTTCTCCCCATCCACCCCTCGATCTGCCCCGCGTGACGCTGCCCACGTTTCTCTTTGCTCCGCTACACTCGACCAACACATCTGCATTCACCACCACCACCACCACCACCCCATCCTCCCCGCGTCTGAACAAACCCATCCTGCATCCACCTCCCTCCGAGTCCACCGTATCCACTCGATCTCGAGCGACGCCTTTATCGCTTGCGCAGGTACGGGACCAAGCTTATGCGCTCGCTGCTGGACTGCTGGATGAAAAAGTTGCCCAGTCGTTTGGCTTAAAGGAAGGATTGAGCAAGGGCGATACCGTTGCATTGTTCAGCGCAAATCAGGTCCGTCCTTGATGAACCCCGCATGTAGACTCGTAGCCGCAGAAGCAAGTCTGACACGCCATCTCGCCCCCAATCTTCCCGCAAGCATGATTATCTCGTTGTAGTCCTCGCCTTGCAACTCCTCGGGTGCATCCCCGCGCTATGCAATCCCAGCTACACTTCCTCTGAGCTCTCTCATCAGATCCGCATGATTCGCTCCAACCTCATCGTCAGCACCAACACGAGCAGCGGAGACAAGCCCAGCGCCTTTTCCCAAGCTCAAAGGGCTGCTCGATTGGCAGCTTCGCAATCGGACGATGAATTCGAGAAGCTGAAGAGCGAGCCGGTTGTGCTTGCGTGGGAAGAGGGCCGGGGAAGCTGGCACGAGATCGCCGAGAAGGGCACCGAGCTGGGTGAAGCTGGCAGAGCAAAGGTCGAGGAGAGAAGCAGAGCTGTGCGCATACACGATACAGCTGTGCTGTGTTTCAGGTGAGTCCGTCCCCAGCACGTTCGCCATCCTTGCTTGATTGTGCGATGTTGAAAATGTCATCCTCCACCATCCCCCACTCGCGCACATCGCACCTCGCATCCAGCTCTGGAACATCAGGCAAACCAAAAGGAGTCTGCTTGACGCACGAAAACTTGGTCAGCAATACGATTCAAGCTACCTACCTGCTGCATGATCGGATGAACGAGCCGCTCATATCGCGCTGGTCAGATGACTCTTCTGCCTTCGAAGCGCGTTCGCAGACAGGGTGGTACGACACGGCTCACGAGCACGAGGCTGATACGCGAAAGAAGAATAAGCGCAAGAGTCTGGGAGAGAAGCTCAAAAGTGTGCTCAGTCTCACAAAGAAGAGCGGGAGCGCACAGGATGCGAATGGCGAGTTCCATCAGGATGTCTTGCCACAATTTCACTGCTACGGTCTGCTCGTCAACCTCGTCGCTTTGCACACCGTGAGCCGCATCTCGCGTCGCCGACTCCCAAAGCAGCAGCAATGATGGCACGCCAGCTGATGTATCTGATCCTCATCTCCTCCAGGCGACGCCTCGAGTCATTCTGCCCCGCTTCGATTTGCACACTTTCCTCTCGGTGACGCAACAAAAGCAAGTCACATTCGCCTTTGTCGTACCTCCCATCTTGTTGGCCTTGGCAAAATCGCCGATAGTGGAAGAGTACGATGTGAAGAGCCTTTGGAGGGTCGCTTCGGGAGCTGCGAGCTTGCCCGACGAGCTCGTCAGCAAGGTGCACAAGCGATTAGGACTCATTTGCACAGATGGTGAGTGCAGACGTACCAGGTTCTGAGGCACCAGCAGCTCACCTGCCATTTGCTTTCTCGCTCGTTGCTCGCTAGGCTACGGTATGACAGAGAGTAAGTGCAAGCCTTGCATTTCTCGCAGTGGTCCATGTCTCACCGTCGCTTCTTGCTTCTGAGTCGCAGTGAGCCCAATCATCGCCATGCAGACCCTTTCCGATGTCGAGGCAGCTCCTGGATCTATCGGCGTATTGGCGCCCAACACGCGCGCAATCTTACTCGACGTCAATTCCGGCAGGGAGCTTTCGTCATCTAGCGACGCCTTGGCATCGTCATCCGAAGCGGCAGGCGAAGGGCAGGGTCAAGAAGGAGAGCTACTTTTGCACGGTCCTCAGATGATGGCTGGCTACCTTCACAACGACAAGGCCAACGAAGAAGCATTCGTGATCCGCAAGAACGACGAGGGAGAAGAGGAACGATGGTTGAGGACAGGCGATGTGGTTAGGATAGATCAGCGCGGTTATGTATTCATCAAGGACAGGACAAAGGACGTGATCAAAGCAAAGGGTTTCCAAGTCTCTCCTGCTGAACTAGAAGGTGAATACACAAGATTGCAAATGCCCGCTCTGATGTGCACGAGCTGATAGTCTTCCTCGCCATCGCTTGCGAAAAGCCATCTTGTTCCGCGACGACAACATCGCGGATTGCGCAGTGGTCGGTGTGACCGATTCGGACGGCTCAGAAACTCCATGGGCATTCATAGTTCGTCGATCGGACGCTTCATCGCCCAGCGCTTCTTCTGCCCCTTCCCCCTCCACCGAAAGACCCCCTGCGACGAGGGACGACGAAGATGCCGAAGAGCAGGAGAAGAAGGAAATTCTCAAGATGGTAAATCAGGAAGTCGCCGGCTATAAGCGCATCAAGGGCGTCTCGTTCGTCAAAGAGATACCTAAAAGTCAGGCTGGCAAGGTGCTCAAAAAGGACCTCAGAGGTCTGGTCAAGATCTGACTGGCTGCAAGATCTGCAGCGTGTTCACGAAGAGAAGATGCGGAGGCGAGAGATGCTCGAAGGGGCCTCGCGCTTTGCCGTTGCGTCGTTTCCTCTTGTCGCACCGAACTTTTGAAGGTACTGTGAGATGGGTGATACTTCATCTGCTCGTCTCTTACGCTTGTTGCGTCTCACTTTGCGTATCCTAAAGTCTCTGCGCATGCCGGTTGCTATAATGTCCGAGCCCGCTGCTATTTCGCCAGCATCGCGGTCGTGAATCACGGATGAGAATCATATACCACAA